TTAGAACAAGCTTAGCAAAGCACAGGGACTGCGGTTCAATCCCCCAGCACCACATGCCAGCCAGCCCTGCCCCCTGGTGGGCTGAGCTGGCCACACACTCACACACACACACACACACACACACACACACAAATAAATAAAATTTTTTTAAAAACCACAAAACATGCTATTTCTCTTTTAAGACAAAGATTGGGTAGGTTCATTGGTAGTTTATTAGAAAACTTTGGGGTTCCTTGTGAGACAAACCCTACTGCTGCTTGTGCACAGCCGCCCAGGCCACCCCACATCCCTCCCAGGGAAAGACTTGAGAGTCGAGGGAGACTCAGAGATGCGAAGCCCATGCTGCCTACCGCGTCAGGACGAGGTCTTTCGGTCTGTAGCCTGGGGCTCTGGTGTCTTCTCCCACATCCCTGAAACTAACGTGTTAGTTTTTAGACTGGGAGAGATCTTTCCTGAGAGAAACTAGAGTATTTAGCACCATGTCCCCCAAATGCCTCTGTGTGTACGTACCCAAGACTCTTTGCCAAGACTTGGGGACATTGTAAGCAGACAGGGACCAAAATATCCACATGAGAATCGTCTGATTGGCAAGTGAGGTGACATATATTTCATCCCAGCACTTGGGAGGCTGATGCAGGAGGATCACAAGTTCAAGGTCAACCTGGAGTACATATTGAGACCCTTTCTCAAAAAAAAAAAATTATCTGAGGGACACAGAGAACTGGGCAAAGGTGTGCTCTCTGCAGGAACTCCCTTCCTGCCCTTATGCTAAGTCAGCTAAACTTGGTGGTTGGTCACGCATGGGACAAAACAACCATGATGTCACCAGTAGGTAGTTGGCCCCAAAAACCCCACTGCGTGACAGCTGGGTGCAGCACACACCGTGGAGGGGCATAGTGCCATACCCATTGTTGCACACTGTGTTCGTTCTGGCGATTTTACTGTCCAGCCCCCTGCCACTGGGTTCTGTGGTTTCCTGGTGCAAAGTCAGTTAACGCTGCCTTTTCCTGTTGCTGCTTTAGCTTTTTATTTATTATGTATCTCATACAGGTTCTCACTACACAGTTCGGACTCGTAGTGATCCTCCTGTGTTCAGCCTCCTCAGTGCACCTGGTCTCAGCGCGCCTGGGGATGGGGACAGTGTGGCATGCGGTGCCAGGGATTGCACCCCAGTCCCTGTGCTTGCCTAAGCAGGTGCTTAGTCCACTGAGATATCTCACCAGCCCTTGTTGCTGCCCTAATAAATCTCAGCTCCTGTGGCCCAGAACTCGCGAGGCTGAAGCAGAAAGAGCATTACTAACGAGGCGAATGAATTCAAGGCCAGCCCAAACTACATCAGCAAGAGTGTTTAAAAAAAAAAAAGCCAGGGGCCAGGGAGATGGCTCAGTAGGATAAGCACTTGACTGGCAAACACAAGGATATGAGTTCAATCCCTGGTTCCACAAAAAAAATAAAAAAATAAAAATAAAAATAAACAACACAGATATCAATCACAGTACCGGCTGATACAGCAGAGTCCCAACACATGGCTCTTTTCACTTTCTCCCAAGCAAATGGGGTAGGGGTGTAGAACAGCACTTTGCTCAATTCCTGGTGAGAGCCTGAACTTTATAAGGCAAATCAAGCAACATTCTGCCACCTTCTGGACTCCAGCGGTATTACATGCAGTCTCAAGTAGCTTTTTTTTTTTTTTTTTTTTTTTAATCCTGTGCAGTTCAGGATAGCCTTGAACTCACTGTGTAGCCCACCTGGCCTCAAATTCACAGTACTCCCCCTGCCTTGGCCTCCCAAGTGCTGAGATTACAGATGTGTGCCACCATACCCAGCTTCAGGCAGCTGTTTTTGTTTTTGTGCTTTTTTAATGAACCATTACACTTTTTCCTTCCTGGGAAACTCTAATTTTAAATGAGCATTTTCAGCTGGCTGTGGTAGTGCAGGGTCAAGGCCAGCCTGCACTACATAGCAAGACCCTGTCTCAAAAAAACAAAATAGAACAAAAACTAGAGGACAAAAAGCATTTTCAGGGCTCGCTTTGGCAGCACATATACTAAAACTTGAAGGATACAGCGGTTACCGAAGCCCCTGTGAAGGAGCTCTGTGTCTTTAAGTGTAATCAGACCACGTGTGAACATCACATTGTCTCCCTCGTGTAAGAACCTGAAAGAGTAAAATCTGAAAGGTACAGTAGATACTGTGAGAGGAAAAGACCCTGTTCAAAGGGAAGGAATACCTGGGATGAGGGAAAGGACAAAAGGGGAAAATACACGTATACACATAGGCTAGCCTGGATGATTGTACTGCCGATTTCTACTGGTCTATTGAAAGGAACAGTTAATGCTTAATAAATACTTTTTCTGAACAACTTTGCATGCTTATGTCTCGTAATCTGAACAACTAATTTGAAGACAATATGCAGTGTAGCAACCATCACTGAATTCCTATCATCTTCTTAGTGAAGTTCTATATTGTTTCTAATTTTTTAAATTATTTTTTATTCTCTTTAAAAAATAGAAAATAAATAAAAGTATTTTATCCTGGGGTATAGCTCAGTGACAGAGCACTTTTCTAGCACTCACAAGACCCTATGTCATCTTTTTTTTTTTTTTTTCTCAAGGAACCGGGGATTGAACTCAGGCCCTTGCGTTTGCCAGGGAAGCGCTTATTCTACTGAGCCATCTCCCCAGCCCTCCTAAGTCATATTTCCAGCACCACAGAAAAGGGGAAAAAAAGCATTTTCTATGTCTCACTGTATCTTTTATTTTTATTTTTTTAGAGACAACAGGGTCTCACTGCATAGCCCAGGCTGGCCTTGAACTCGTGTAGTCCTCCTGCCTCAGCACCCCCAAGTGCTGGGATCACAGGTTTGCACCATCATGCCTGGCTTGTTCTACTGTATCTTTGGGTTGAAACTTCTGCCTGCTGCCTGCTTGGGCTGAACATGGGGTTGGAGGAAGGATTGAACAGAGGAGAAAAGACCCAGAGTCATCTCCATGTGGCACTTCCACTTCTCTCCAGGATCATGCTGAAGGGATTTAGAAAGTGTGGATTTTGGGGGGCAGAAGAAATAGCAAGTGCAGCACACACAGCATGAGTCAGGGCCTGGAGTGGCGTGCGTGTGCGCATTATGCAGGAGGGAAGGGGAAGCCAGGCCACAGAGGGCCACCTGGATGACTGCAAGAATGTGGGGTCTTACTTTCTGAGACAAGGTCTCCCCTATGTAGGTCAGGCTGGCCTCAGATTTGCAGTGATCGTCCTGCTCCAGCTTCCCAGGTGTGTACCACCGCGATTTGGGTTCTCCTCTGAGTGCAGTGAGAAGCCACCGAACGGCTCGGAGCGACCGAAGCAGCATTACCTGATACACATGTGGAGGAGATCTCTGTCATTCATGGAGTCTCAGGAAGCAAAGGTAGAATCAGGGAGGCTTAGGACAGATGCCAGTCGGGAGGATCAGAAAGTTAAGGCAACCACGCTGACAAGAGCAGAAAGTGGTTTGGGGGAAAGAATAGGAGGCTGGAGGCTGGGACATGGTCTGATGTTAGAGTCCAGTGAGGTGGGGGGCGCGCGCCTGCAATCCCAGCACTCTGGGCGGCTGAGACAGGAAGAGCACCATTTGGAGCCCAGCCTGGGCCACTTGGCAACTTAATGAGGCCCATCTCTGTATGAAAAATAAAAGGTAGAGATGTAGCTCAGGTTGAAGGCCCTGGATTCAATGCCCCGTCTTTTTTTTTTTTTTTTTTTTTCTTAATGTATTTAGTTCAGAGTCTACAGGGTCTTACTACACAGATCAGACTCGTAGCAATTCACGTGGTAGAAAGGGTAGGGGTCTCTCTGGGGCCTTGATCGGGCACTAACCCCAAGTGAGGGATTTGTTCTCAGGACCTAATCATTTCCCCAAGCCCTTCTATTTTTTGCTTGGTTTGTTTTGAGACAGAGTCACAATATGTACCTACACAGGTCTCAAAGTTAACTTGATCCTCCTGCCCCAGCCTCCATGGTGCTGGTGTTGCAGGCATGAACTACCAAATCTGGTATGACTTTGGTTCATCTCCTTCCGTGTCCCCAGTTGTGACTTCAATCCTGACATTCCAGCCTGTCCCTGAGATGTCCCAGGCTGGAACTGCTAAGTCTGGTAACAGTTTTGACCTTAAGCACAGAGGGCCACCCACAACCCAGGCCACATGTGGCCACATGGGGACAGTCGCTCTGCCCCATCTGCCGAATGGAACAGCTCCAGCTTTCCTAGAATGAAGGGCCAGCCAGGCCATCTCTCCTGGCTCTGCCACTGCCGGAGGTGCCCTGGCCTCCGGGCAGGTGGCAAGCTCAGATCTGGGCACAGCCGCAGGTATGTCCGACCAGGCGGGGGCTGGAAGTAGCACTCAGCATGCCAGGCACGTGGGGTGCTCCAGGCTTCCAGCCACTCAAGGGCTGAGCCAGAGGGACTGAAATTCAAAGCCAGCCTGGGCAACTTACTGGGACCTCTTTCAAAATTAAAAAATAAAAAGGGCTGGGGGGTGGGGCTCAACAGTAGGGTGCCCCTGGGGTTGACTCCCAATGCCACTATCCCACAAAGGAAGAAAAAAGTAACGCTCAGGATGTCACCTGCGTCTTTCAAGTGGTTCTAACTTGACAGAAAAGGGTTGTTATTTTCTGAAGCCCTGAAACCTGAGCCACCTGCGACACCCTGCCAGACCGTGCTCTCCCCGCTCTCCGGGCAGCAGACCTCTTTCCTGCTCCGGAAAATGTCAAGGTCACGCACAGCCCAGCCTTTCCTGTCCCACTGCGGCCCTGGGCTGGCTTCTCTTCACCACTCGGACCTCTGGAGTGTGCCACCCTGCCATCATTCCTGCTTGTCACTGTCTTCCCTGAGTCCCTCAGTGGCCTGGTACCTAGACTAGTGCCTGTGGGGGAGGGGGATGGTGTTTGTAGAGCAAATAAACAATGCTTCTTTTGAAAAATGATCGTGTTTTAATAGCAAAATAATATATACTGTGAAAAGGTAAGAATACAAAATTCAGAAAATACATGAGCACCTTTAGGAACATTTTAACTACTAAAGTCAACTTGCCCTTGATTTGCCTACAGCGTGCTTGGGTACTGAATACAGGGTGGTACCCCGTGTACCCACGCCCACCACCCACACACATCCCTGTGGCCCCAAGGGCACCGCGCTGGGCCCCTGCTGTAGTGTAAGGCACTGCAGTCCCCTGAGGAGGGGGTCTGGCCTTAGCCATTTCTGGATGGACCTGCACATCCAGAGCTTGGCCAGGCCGAAGGCCACACAGCTGGCCAGCAACAGCTGGCATGGTCTGAGGTCCCGAGGCCCTGGCTTTCGCTACCAAGCCCCCTGGAGCCTGAGTAGCTTCCCTCTTCACTGTGCTGCTCCGAGGGCCAGGGGCTCCACGGTGGACACCAGGATGGGTCCCAGCACGGGTCACATCCACCAATCCATGGATTCTTTGGGGCAGGGCCTGACGATGACCACGCAGTGTGGCAGCCCCTGGCACAGGACCCGCTCCGCCTCCTGGCCCTCCCAGCCCAGCCCTTGCAGCTCAAGCGCCCGCAGCTTGGGCATGGTCAGGCAGGAGGAGATGATCTGGGCCGGGGTGGGCATGTCGGGGGTGATGAGGGGCCCCTGCAGGCACAGACTCTCTAGCGCGGGCATCCCCTCCAGGTGGGCCAGCCCTGCTGGAGAGAGGCCGCCCACCGTGAGACGGAGCTTGCGCACACCGCGGAGGTGGCGGCTGATGGCCCGCAGGGTGCCATCGGCCGGCAGGGTGCAGCCCAGCACCTCCAGCCTCTGCAGGTAGGTGAGCTCCTGCAGACTGGCGTCCAGGCCCGTCTCGGTGACGCGGTAGGTGCCACCCAGCACGAGCGAGCGCAGGGCGCGGAAGCGCGGCAGCCCCTGCAGGTGCTCGTCGCGGAAGGCAGGCACGCGGTCCAGCACGAGGCACTCGAGCTGCGGCAGCACGCGCGGGTCCTGCTCGCGCAGCAGCCAGGCCATGGAGATCTCGCAGCTGTGCAGCTCCAGCGTCTGCAGCGTGTGCGGCAGGCTGGTGATGGGCACCGCGCTCAGGTCCGCCACGTGCAGGCACAGGCGCTTCAGGTTGGGGCACTTGTCGCCCAGGGCCCGCAGCAGGGCCGGCGACAGCTGGGGCGCCTGGGAGCCCGAGAAGAGGTAGCCACCCATCCGCAGGGAGTGGAGCCGGGAGGCCATGTAGCGGCGCAGCAGGTGCCACATGACTTTGGGCCGCATCTGGAAGAGCAGGAGGTCACGGTTACTGGAGGAGAGGTTCCCAGCTTCCCAGGCCCAGCCCTGCAGCTGACAGACACCCTGGTGTGGCTCCTGCTGCCCCCTGGCCTCTGCCCTTCCCCTGCCCAGAAAACATGACCACTAGACTCACCATCTAGACTACTAAGACCTTGGGGATTTTTGGTTTTTTGATACAGGGTTTTGCTATGTAGCCCAGGCTGGCCACAAACTCACAGCGACTCTCCTGCCTCAGTCTCCCTAGTGCTGGGATTACAGGTTGTGCCACTGTGCCCCATGCCCCGCTAAAACTCTGAATAAATCCAGTGGAGGGGGCTGGCAGGTTAGCTCAGCTGTCTAAAGCACCTTCTTCAGCAAAATCAGCCAAGGGTAAGGGACTGCAGTTCAAGCCCCACATGTTGTACCAGACTTGCCCTTTTTTCTTTTTCTTTCTTTCTTTCTTTTTTTTTTTTTTTTGCGGAACCGGGGATTGAACTCAGGCCCTTCACTTGCACTTATTCTACTGAGCTATCTCCCCAGCCCCTCAGACTTGCCCTTAAGGCAGCGTGAGCCAGCAAAAAAATAAAAAAATAAAAAATAAAAAAAATCCTTCTCTGAATAAATCCAGTGGAGGAAAGACCCAAGTAGACCTGACTTTGCCAACAGAGTGGATTCTTGTCATCTTCTGACCTAACAAAGCCAAGGAAGCCCTAGTACCCCCTCTGGGAGAATAAACTGCATGCAGCAAGACTCAAAAAGACTAGTAAGCCAAAGCTATATTTTAAAAAAAGGCTCCAAGGGTGGTGGCACACACCTGTAATCCCAGCTCACAGGAGGCTGAGGCAGGAGGCAGCCTGGGCTGTACAGTACATTGAAGGCACAGTGAGACCCTGTCTCAAAAATCAAGACAAAAAAACAAAAGAACTAAAGGCATGGTCTAGTAACAGTGAGAACTATAAATAGTAACTGAGAAATTTGCAGAAAACAAAAGACAACCAGTAACACAGTGCAATCTGGTGTATGCATTTTTTACCTTAGAAAGAAAGGAAACTGCACAGCATAGACCTTCAGTTTATTTATCTAATTTTTTTTCTGCTGGGGGCGGAAGCCAGGACCTAGTGCACATTAAGCACAGGGTTTGGCACTGAGCGAAAACCCCAGCTCATAAGCATATAGCTGGTTGCCTGCTTGTGATAATAGGAATCAAATCTTCCAGAACAAATTTATTGTTATTTTGATTTCTTGAGACAGGGTCTCTCTATGAAGCCCAGGCTGGCCTTGAATTTCTGGGGACCCTCCTGCCTCAGCCTCCTAAGCACTGGGGTTACAGGTGTAACCTACATGTGGCTTCCTGGCAATTTAGACCTGTAAGCCTGGCTTGACCCACTAGCAATGCTGGTCACTGGTGTGAGGGCCGAAACCACAGCCAGCGAACTGCAAAGTGGGCCCAAAGCCAGTGGACAAAGGTAACTTCTCAGAGAACAACGGATGCTGAAACAGTGTTAAGCTCATCAAATGTGAGCTCCAAGGTGGAGAAGCACACTTGCTCAGGCTGCTGGGGGGAACTGCTCTGGCTTTGCGCAAAGCAATCCGAGAGTTTCTGTTGAAATTTAAAATGTAGAACATCACTGCCACCTGTTTTATCTTCAAAGAACACAGTAAGCTGTCTGAAACGGTGGCTCCACATGGGTGGATCTGACCAACTGTGGTCAGATCCACCCATGTCTGCATTGAAATCTGCACTGAACATATGTAGGCTTTTGTTTTTGTTCCCTTTTTTGAAACAGTTTTGCTATATAGTCCAGGCGGGCTTCAAACTCCTGCCCTTCCTCCTGCCTCAGACTCCTGACCTGCGGAATGACAGGCGAGTGCCACTACACCCAGCCAGACTTTTTTCTGTCATCATTCCTATATAACATGGTATAACATCTATTTTCACAGCACTGATATTATATTAGGTCCAGGTCATCTAGACATGACTGAAGTTTCCAGGAGGAAGGGTGAGGGACTATGCAAATCCTATACTACTCTACAGAAGGGTTCTGAGCCTCTGGGGGCACCCTGAACCCATTTCCACAGATACCAAGGGCTGCCTCAATATGCGCCTGTTTGTGTTTCTGGGCTGCAGAAGCAATGGGAGTGTGTGCTGCCTCTGGGGAGAAAGAGGACACTCACAGAGGGGTACACGGTGAGTTCAAGGCCAGCTTGAACTGCAGAGTGAAACCCTGTCTCAAAAAGCCCGAGAGAGAGACAGAGAGACAGAGAGACAGAGAGACAGAGAGACACACACAGAGAGAGAGAGAGAGAGAGAGAGAGAGAGAGAGAGAGAGAGAGAGAGAGACTGTAATTAAGTCTTAATTAGGGACACCTGAATTTTTATTATTTTGTATCTTTAAGTCTGCATTTGTGTTAGTATTTTTTAAAACAATGCTAGGCAGGTGGTGCATCTAAGCCTGCCTGGACTACATAGTTCAATGCCAGCCCAGGGTACACAGACCCCATCTCAAAAAAAAAGTTTGAGAAGCTACTTTATGACACTGTAATACTAAAAAGTCAGAAATACCCTAAATTTCTATTAATAGTAAAGTGAATACATAAATTTTGGCATATTCATTAAACAGCAGTTGAAAGAAATGAACTTGATTTTTATGTGTTATTAAGAATCTTTCTAGTATGCAATGTGTTAATTAGTGAAACTGTCCTACCAATTTGGTTTGAAACTGTCTCATTGCTATTTGTTTCTCAATAAAATTATGGGGAAAAAAAAAGAATCTTTCTATCCTTGTTTGTTTTTATGAAGCAGGGTCTCAGTATGTAGTTCAGGCTGAGCTTGAATTCACTATGTAGCCCAGGCTGGTCTCCAACTTACAAAGATCCTCCTGCCTCAGCCTTCCAAGTGCTGGGATTACAGGGGCTCATCATAACTGGCACCAATAAGAATCTTAAAGGCAATGTATGAAAGCTAATTGTGATGACATATACAGTAAAACAGCATTATCTAACCAGAAATGTAGAGGCCAGCAAGCTAGCTCAGTGGCCTGCTTAGACAAGCTTCCAGCACCGCATGCTGGGCCAGCCCCACCAAAGGGCAGGCTGCGCTGGCCAGCAATGCATTAGCAGGGGATTTAGCTCAATGGTAGTGTTTGCCTAGCAAACTGAGCCCTGGGTTTGAGCCCTAACACCCTCCCACCAAATGCATTAACAGTGCTGTATATACTGCTTATGGATATTCACCCAGGAAATAAATACTATGGAAAGAGACAGGTCTTCTTTATAACACTGGCTACTTATGAAAACGATGTCAAAAAGGTCAACAAATCTATAAATCTTTATACATATATATGCACATATGTACACTATACATGGTCTGCAGTGAATAAAGTCAAAAGTGAAATCTGGGTGGTTAATGATAGAGTCCTCTATGTATGTTCTGAAGATTTTAAAATGTTTCATAAACAAAGCAGCAGTTAACTGTTATAAAAACAAGAAAAGCAAAATGCAAATGGGAAAACATGGAAATCGTCTGGAGAACTCAGGAAATTAATGTGGAGACATGAGTGGACTTAAAATAATTTCTCCGTTAAAATCACTGCTAGGTGCTGGGCAAGGATCGCTGCGAATTCGACGCCATCGTGGGCTACAAAGTGAGGAGAAGGCCAGCCTAAATTACATAGTAAAACCCTGTCTAAGAAAATATCCCCCCTTGAAAATTACCGGTAGGTATTCAATATTTTATAGGATTAAGATTATGTTATGTATATATACCATCTCGCCAAAATGAATGCAATCACTACGTACTGCAAACAGGTACCAGTAAGAAATACTTGATAACATAATCATAAACTATCATGTAAGCGATGCAAGTACATGCCAGCCACGGTTTTGTACGCCTTCCGTACGCCCTGCACGAACTCGGTGAAGTCTGACAGCAGCCCCGACAGGTAATTTTAAAAATTGTTATTATTATTATTATTTTGTTTTCTGAAAGAAAAGTCTCGCTCTGTAGTTCAGGCTATCCTCGAGCTCGCAGCGATCGTCCTCCTGCCTCAACTTCCAAGTGCTGGGATTACAGGCGGTGCAGTGCTAAGCTGGAGACCGAACCCAGGGTTTGGGTATCATCGTTTATGTCCTTTTCTTGGATGGTGAAACTGAGGCTCGTAGACGACAAAGCAGTAGATAATCGATGGCGCGGAGATGGTCCCCCGGACAACCGGGTTGAAAACCTAAAGTCCGGGTCTCCACCCCCCACGCCCCCAATTCCAGTACTTCCGACACCCCCGCAGCGGGAGGTGGCGATCGCGGCCCCGCCCCGCCCTGGAACCCCGTACCGTGTAGAGCGTCAGGTCCACGTGTCGCCACAGCCATCGGTCGTCCACCAGGCGCTTCCAGTGGTGACAGACCCTGGGGGAGGGGACCGGCCGTTAGAACGAGCCCGGCCCCGCGGGGCCCGCGTCCGCGTCTCGCGGTGAGGCCCCTGCCCGGCTCTGTCCCCCCGGGGCGCGGGGCCGCACCTGGAGATGCGGATCCGGTCCCGGACCGGGAGGTAGGCGAAGATCTCCAGGAGGACCGAGTCCGGCATGTCCGCCATGGTCGCCATGATCGCCCCGCCGCGTCCACCCGCTTCCGGCCGCGGCCACCGGAAACTCCCCTCCGGGAGTGCTTAGATGGGGGAGAGACGGACAAGCCCCCGGGGGCGGGCAGCCGGTGGCCGCGACTTCCACTAGCCCGCCGATAAACGCCGCTTTCTTATGACCGGAACCTGGCTGAATCCAGCGGTCGAGCCAGTCTGAGGTTTCTGCGGCCCCGGCGAGTGACTCACACAGACTTCGCCCGGCGGACGGAGAGCTCCGCGAGCCTGAGGACGGGGCGGGGCGGGCGAGGGCCACCCCCGAGGCATGGCTTAGGGAGGGCGGGGCGCCGCGAGGACCCGGCCCGGGTGGAGGACGCAGCCCGTAGCGGAGCGCGGCTTGGGCGGGGCGAGGCCCGGGAGGCGGAGTTGAGGGAAGCCGGGGCTCGCTTCGGAAGGCGTGGCCAGGACCTGGAGGTACGGTGGGAGGCGAGGACCAAGCCGGCCGGTCGTCAGCTGAGCTTAGGCGTAGCTGGAATGGAGCGCAAAGTGTGTGAGCGTGACTGGGGCGGGGCAGGGGCGGGGCCTGGGCGGGCCGAGGCCCGGGAGGCGGAGTTGAGGGAAGCCGGGGCTCGCTTCGGAAGGCGTGGCCAGGACCTGGAGGTACGGTGGGAGACGAGGACCAACCGGGGAGGGCGTAACTTGGACGTAGGCGTAGCTGGACTGGAGTGCCGAGTGTGTGAGCGTGACTGGGGCGGGGCAGGGGCGGGGCGATGGTGGGCGGGGCCAGGCAAGGGGCGTGTTTAGGCCCGCGGCGAGGCCGGAGCTTGGCTGTCCGGCACTGGGCTGGGGTGGGCCGGTGGCTGTGCGCCCTAAACCTGAAGGTCAGGGGGACGCGGCTGGGGAGCATGCTCAGGTGGAGGGGTCAGGCGAGCTCGGGAAGAGGCCCAAACTTGGAAAACTCGGGCAGCCGGCTGAGCCACGCCTATGGCTGGCGGTACAGTTGGACGGCGCGGGCGTGAGGTTCGGGGTTGATCTCCCGCGTCGCAATAAAAAGACGGACCAGGGGCTGGTGAGATGGCTCAGTGGTCTAAAGCACCTACTTAGAACAAGCTAAGCTAAGCAAAGCACGGGGACCACGGTTCAATCCCCCAGCACCACATGCCAGCCAGCCCCGCCCCCTGGTGGGCTGAACTGGCCACACACACAACACTAAATAAATAAATTTTTTTTTTTTTTTTAAAAAGGCGGACCAACCTGGAAGAGGCGGTCGGGGTGGGGGACTAGGCCCTGGGGAACGACAGGGTCAGGCCTGGCGAGCCCCGGGAAGACCTTCAAGTCCCGGGAGGTACAGAACCTAGAACAAAGACCGAGCCCTGACCGGATCCGGGTGGGGTGCCGGGGCCGCGGGGCGCGTGGCCGGCGGCAGGACGGCGGCTCTCGCTCCTTAAGGTCCGGTGGCTCGGCTCAGCAGCCTGTTAAAAATTGTGCTGGATTCTGCCAAATTGCTCTCCACAGACTGTCCTGAGTTGACACTGACACTCGTTACAAACTACAGGGATCACCGAGTTTTAAAATAGCTATTTGTGGGTTTTTAAAATTTATTTATTTTGGGATACTGGGGATTGAACTCAAGAGCCTGTGCTTGCCAACCAGGGGCTTATGCCACTGGGCTATCTCCCCAGCCCTAAAAAAACCAGCCGTTTGTGATCTGGGTTTCCTGGCCATTCGCCTGTAATTCCAACACTGAGGGAGGCTGAAGCAGGAGGATTGAAAATTCAATTCCCACCTAAGCAACTTAGACCCTGTTTCAAAATTTAAAAAAAGGGCTGGAGTTCTAGCTCAGAGGTAGAGCACTCCTGGGATCGATTCCCACTGTAAGAAAAATCTTGTACAAGTAATTAAAATTTATTCAAACATTCTTTTATTGATGGGCATTCAAGTTGTTTCCAGATGTTAACCAAAAATAATATTCCAGCTAAGTAGTCTCATGTAAACATACGCACCCATCATACAAACATCCTGCTTTTATTTCTGTGGAATAAGTCAGTTTGATGAGTCAGAATTCGTAAGAGATTTAATTGTGAATTCATTTTTCTAAATCACTCCACCAAGATCCTATGAAAGCAATAAATATGTTTTCAATGTATACATACACCCACAAAAGCAGAAATTAGACATGCTGATACTGTTTTAAAACGCAGTCTTGGGGCTGGGGATATAGCTCAGTGACCCAGTGCCTGCCTGGCAAGCGCAAGGTCCCGAGTTCAATTCCCAGTACCAAAATAAAAAATAAAGTCTTGGGCTGCAACTCAGTAGTAGAGTGCCTGCCAGCATACAGGTGGCTGTGGGTCCAAACACTGGAGTGTGCACATGTGTGCAAGCATACACACAATGTGTGCTTACACTTAGCCATAGAGAAATACCAAGTAAAACACTGGTTTTTCTTTACCTTTCTTGTGGTTATTTTAGAGGTACTGCAGATTGAACTCAGGGACACTCTACCACTAAGCCACCCCTTTTCTTGAGACATGGTCTCACTGATTTGTTTTGTTTTTGTTTTTGGCAAAACTGGGGATTGAACTCAGGCCCTTCCGCTTGCCAGGGAAGCACTTATTCTAACAGCCATCTCCCTGCCCCCCCCCCCCCCAGTTTGCCTTGGCAGGACTTGGGTTTGATTATCCTTCCTGAGCTTCCCTAATTGCTTCAATCACAAGAATATGTCACCAGCCTGGCTTCAAACTCCTTAATGTTTTCTAATTTGGTAGGGGGAAAAAAAAAAAAAAAAACACACAAAGCCAGGCACAGTGGTGCACACTTGTAATCCTAACACTCTGGAAGGCTGGTGCAAGATGATTGCAAATTTGAGTCCAGCATAGGGCAACTTCATGAGGCCCTGTCTCCAAAGAAAAAATAAAAAACAGGGCTGGGGATGCAATTAGTAGTAGAGCATTTGCCTAGCCTGCAAGAGAGTTCCCTATTCCCAGTCACACACACACACACACACACACACACACACACACACACAGGCAAAAGGACCACAGATAAAGTGATTTATGATTCGCATTTATGACCACAGAGGGAAAGACCAAAGGAACTACATGAGTCACTCAACTCAAACACCCCTGAGCCGCTGGTCTAGGACTGCCTTTCAGAATCTTCGTTTCTGTAGGCAACTGTCAGCTCAAGCGCTCCTCGTAACTGATCCTTCCTAGTAAGATTGCCTCTCAGCCCTTCGCCAGGCCCAGCCAGGATGCAGAAGAGTGGAGGGGGACACCCCAATGCTGGGGTACAAGTGCCACCAACTCCTAGTGGCACAAAAATAGCAATCTAGGGCCAGGGAGCTGGCTCAGTAGAATAAGCACTTGCCTGGCAAGCCTAAGGGCCTGAATTGAATCCCCAGCTCTGAAAAAATAAAAATAAAAAGCAATCTATTTTGTTAATTTATTTTTTAATTATACATTTTGAATACATAATTACATTCATTGTGGGAAGTATATGACATATCTTAATTCTTTTAATTCCATTTGTCTCCCTTCCCCACCGCAGGATCCTCTTCCCACTTACCAAAGATCTCCTATTCTTTTTTTGTGGTACAGGGTCTCACTACACAGCTCAGACTCATAGTGATTCTCCTGTCTTAGCCTCCCCAGTGCTGGAATTACAGGCATGCACAACCACACCTGGTTTCAGTGGCCAGCTTAGTGCAGAGCCGGCAGGACATGAAGTACCAGGGATCAAACTCCGGTCCTCACGTTTGCCAGGCAGGCACTTAGACCACCGAGCTGTCTCCCCGGCCAGTCTGTCTTTTCTTTTGCTCTTTGCTATTTACACTTTAGTTTTCTCATATGAGAAAAATTATGGTATATTTAAGCTTATGCATCTGATTTATTTCATTTAACATGATCTCTAGTTGGGCCTACTGACCCTCACCTGTAATCCCAGCAGTGAGGAGGCTGAGGCTGGAGGATCACCAAGACTTAAAGAGACCAGCCTGGGGTACGTAGTGAGTTTAGGGCCACCCTGCGCTACAAAATGAAACTGCCTCCAAGAAACAACCAAAAACATGGTCTGAAGGTGCCTCCGTTTTCCTACAAGTGACCCAAATTTATCCTTTATGGCAGAATAGTACTCCACTGTGCACAACGGATTTTCGTCGTGCCCTCATCTGGTGATGAGGGACACACAGGTCACCTCCAGGATGTGCTGCTGTGAGCTGTGCTGCGGGGAACACGGCTGTGCGCGCATCAGCGGGGTCTGCTGTCTCTAGCCCTTCCAGGAAGACCCCTGGAATGCCTATTCCAGGCACTTCCATTTTCCCTCCCGCTTCCCCTGGGTGGCTGGGGCCCTCAGTAGACCCTGCCGAGCCCCTCTCTGAAATCCAAGCCCCCCGCAATCTCAGGTTTCATTTTCCTGTTCTCTCCACAGCACTCCCTATCCCTCTCCAGTCTTCCCCAGCCAACAACTCAGCATCACCCTCTTGAGCTTGCTCAGTCTCTGAATCAAATCCTGAGAAGGTAAAATTTAAAAACCAGGACTAAAGCTCCCATTTAGGTCCGATCATTAGCAAGCTATGCCGGCCTCATCCCCGGGGTGTGCGTGCTGAAACACAATTGAGACTAGGCATGGTGACATGCACCTGTAATCCCAGCTCTTGGGAGGATCATTACGTCCGATCTATGTAGTGAGACCCTGTCGACCCTGTGCTAAATACATAAAAAAATAAAATTTGAAAACCAACATCTGCCCTACCCCATTTTACAAACTGACCACCATCCAATGTCAGCCATGTACGAAAACGCTAAAGAGCATTAAAAGGCAAAGGAGGCTGTCGGCAACTTCACCATCTGCAGCAGCCACTGTCACGGCCTTGCAGGACCCAGGACTTGTAGTGACTCCTGCCGAGAACCAACTTGCCATGGTAGAAGCAAGCAATAATCCACAGTAATAACTGGCACAAAAATGGAGGCTGACCTAGGCCTACAGGACTTGTGGTGAGGCGCCCAGCTGGCTTAAGGGCAGATTAATCTGTTAGCCAGTAGCCAGAGGAAGCAGACTAAGCAAACAGCCGTGAAATTCTGGCACTTCAGAGCAAGAGAAGATGAGAGCCAGGTCTTTGACTCAAGCAAATCCTGTCTAGTTAACTCTCATCTGTTCCTGTGTGATTGTGCAAAAATGCATTGTTTCTGTTTTACTTATGTATTTGTTAGTTTTGCGGTACCGAGGATTGAACTCCGGACCTTGCACTTGCCAGGCAGGCGCTTAGGCCGCAGAGCTATCTTCCCAGGCCTCTCAATTCTTAAACCTTAACTGTGTCAGCAGTTCACCCCTGCTGTTTCCTGCACCCCCAGCACACACCCCCAGTCAAGCTGTACAGCTAATAAAGGTCAGAGACACTGTGCCTCATGGCCCTGGCCCGTCATCGGGCTCTGCCCATCCTGGTGACCCTTGTCTGAGGTTCACTTTGTCATCGTACTCTGAGCAGACTGGTGGTCCTCGGCCTCAGTGGGCAGCAAACACGCGCTGCTTTTAAACTTTCTCAGGCACGGGGCTGGAGAGATGGCTCAGTGGAATAAGCGCTTCCCTGGCAAGTGCAGGGGTCTGAGTTCAATTCCTGGTTCCACCAAAAAAACAAACAAATAAAAAATAAAAATAAAAATAAAACTTTCTCAGGCACAATGGTGCCCTCGGCTGCTCTTGAACTTCCCATTTCCCTTCTAACCATTTTTCTGATACCAATCCTTGCATCTAGTGGGGAATATTACCCCTTTTCCATAGGTGGGGAAAAGGAGATCCAGAGAGGTGTTTTAAGACCATACAGTTTACTTATTTTATTTTTCCTTTTTTCAGAGTGGGTTTCACCATGTAGTTCAGCCTGGCTTTGAACTCACAAGCTCATGCTCAACTCAAGGGAATCCTCCTGACTCAGCCTCCCAAGTACTGGAATTAAAGGTGTGTGCCACTATGACCAGTCAGTGTGGGTTATTATTTAAAAAAAAAGGAGGCTCGATGGCCTCTGAATCCCTCTCTGGTCTTTACCAGGATTGAACTTGGGACGCTGCACTTGCCAGGCAGGCGCTCGTGCTGCTGAGCTATCCCTCCAGCCCTCTGGGCCTTTTCTGTCTTGCCCTGTGATTTCTTCTCTAGAAACTCGCCTTGTGATGCTATCTATCTCTCGAGGCTCTCACCAGAAGCCAGATACATAGCTGCCCAGGTTTTGGACTTTTAATTTTCAAATATTTGTACTAAATAAAACTCCTTTATAAAACAGTTTGAGGCTAAGGTAGGAAAATGGTTATGAGTATGAAGCCAGGCTAGGCTACATAATAAATTGAAGGCCAGCCTGAACCACACAGTGAAACCCTGTCTAAAAATAAAATAAAGGGCCCGCAAACATCTTAGCGGATTAAAGCGCCTGCAAGCAGGGGCAGGGGCCAGGGATTCAGTCCCCAGGCCTGCTGTGCCGGCCCAGACCCCAGGGCATGCTGAGACAGCAATTGGGACCGTGCATGGTGGCACCCACCTGTAATCCCAGCTCCTGCTGTGGAGGACCACCTGAGCAGCTCTCCTTGAAAGAAGAGCGACTGTCTCCATTTTGACTGAGCCTGACCCTATTTCCTTGTATTGTTATGTACAGAGCTGGCTAGGACTTCTGCTTATCCTTCAATTGGCCTTAAGCAATATGTACTGGTCTAGCTGAGGTGCTGGTGATAGTCTTTGAAGGTGGTGTGCGTGTTTCCTGCTGCTGTTTAATGTGAGCCGGGTTGAGACAGGACGGTAGAGCTAATGCTCCGCGCCAATAGCTGGGATCGAGCCTCGAGAAAGAGGCCGTGATTTCCTGCGACTTGAAAGGCTACACCAAAGCTGAAGCACCAGACTTACCAAAACATTAGATATTATATAATGCAGATTACTCTCTGCATATCGAAGAGGTAAATTTAGGCCACCCACCTAGCTCAGCTCATAGTAGTCTCTTTCCCACAATTCTCAGTCAATCCTCAAGCCGCTCCCCCACTGAATAAAACTGGGTGAGGCCCTGGGTCGCTCTCTTGGTTCCAGAAAGCCATCTTCATGGCTGGACTTACAGACCCTTGACTCCCCGATGATTGAAGATATACTTTAGTGTCTTTATTTTCGCCGTGGGTTGCATTGTAAGTGGTAGATTGGAATCAATTTGATGGGATTCCAATAACGTAACTTTGGGATTACAAATATTGGCTTCTTAGACCGAGATGAGGACCTGGAAGTGTCTCCTACACCTGCGAGGCTGTGAACAGGTGGATCACTACAAGTAGGATCTACTAATGAGACCCTGAACACCCTGTAGACCTTTCCCTAAAATAATAAATAAATAAATAGAAAAATAACCCACGCTGGTGGGAACCACCTCACTCTTCAGGCCAACATCTATCCCTTCTGAGGCACCACCACCAAAACACTCCAATCACCTTTCAGGCTCCAGCCCACCCCCGTGAACCCCGGGAGCCTTATGCTACATCCCCAGTACCACCCTCAGTCCCTTCCAATCCTATTTTCAGGGGCAGAGGGTACTCTCTTTAAATTGCCCAGGCTGGGGCTGGGGATATAGCTCAGCGGCACAGTACCTGCCTGGCTGGTGTAAGGTCATGAGTTCGATTCCTGGTACCAAAAAAATCAATAGCCCAAGCTGCCTTCCAGTTTGTGATCCCCCTGCTTCAGCCTCCTGGGTAGCTGGGATTACATACAGTCTTGCACCGCTGTGCCCAACACTAAATCTTTATGTTTTCACCACCTCCCAGAATCACCGCCCCTAGAACCAAGCTCCTAACACAGGCACCCTTGGTCGCACTCAAAGCACAGCACGGCGCACCTGTCCTTTCCACCACACAACCTTTCTGGTCTTCCACCTAATCCCAAATCCTAGTTTGAGTCGGTGGATTGAGCAGGTAAAAAGTGGTGGCTGCGTTTCAGAATCAATTGATTTAGCCTCCGCGTCTGGGGTAGTGCTGTGTGGTGGGCAGGGAACGTTCAACAGGTCCCCTGGCAAAGGTGGTCTGGTTCAACCTGGAGGAGGAGGGAGCAGTCCCAGCAGCCCTGACGAACCTGGGATTGGGTACAAATGTTTCCAAATGGTTTTGCAGTCGGGTCGTTTCCAGCCTCCTTCGGGCAAAGGTAGTTGTGCACAACGTGGCAACGTGGACTCCAGTCCAGGATCCGGCTTCGCTGATTCACGGCTCGGTCTGCATCTCAGGTGTCCTGGGGGACAGACGCAATAGCCAAAGGGGAGAGCTGAGTACAAGTCACTAGGCGAGGGGGCTGGACAGGGAGAGCGCAGGTCTCGAACCCTGGTCCCCATGGTGAGACGCTGTATCAAGCTCAGGAACTGGTCATCTCCGCCGTGGACCCTCTAGAGTCAGCGAAAGGCCTAAAACAGCTTCCGTGCTGACCGGCGGCCTCCACGCGCCCACATTAGTCGGGACCCCAGCTAAGTCCCCTACGTCCACCTTGCCGAGTCTCAGCTATCAAAGCCAGGAGGGGCGAGCTACCGGTGTACACCCCGCCCACGCCCGGAACCGGAAGTTCCGAAGTCGTTGTTGATTGGCACTCCATGCACGGGGCGTGAGCTTCCGGTGACGCACTTCCGCTTCCGTTTCCCAGCTACTGCGGGTCTGGGCTCCGCGCTCTGCTCCAGCGAGGAGGCTGAGGCGTCTGTGGGTTCGGGGTGATTCGAGGTGAGGGGGTCAAGCGGAGAGGACCGGAGTCCGGGAAGGTAGTCGGGACCACGTCCCGGCGGGTCTGAGAGCCGGTGTGGGCACTCAAGCAGAGGGCCGGGCCCGCGGGTGACGTGAAGGGGCGGAGAAGCAGCTGCCTGGTGTCCCGGTTACTGGAACACAGGACTTGCGGCCGAGAGGGCACAGGTCCGGAGGGTTCGGAGCGGTGAAGAGGAGTCGCAAGCGATAGGCTTAGAGCCTGGGACCTGGGAGATTTGTAGGCTGGAGCTTCTGGGGTCTGGAAGACCCCGGAAGTCCTTCCTGACTGTCGCCTCCCACCCCCGCCCTGGACAGCTCCCGCCAGGATGATCGAGGTTGTTTGCAACGACCGCCTGGGGAAGAAAGTCCGCGTTAAGTGCAAGTATCCGCCGAGGGCCGGGAGGTAGTGGTCGCTGGGGGTGCTGGGCGCCAGGCGGGCACCCCGGTGTGGGACGTAGGTAGTCGCAGTTAACCCGGGAGAGGGGGTGGGTCAGGCCCTGGCAGAGGGTAAGGTTTGCAGCCCTGGAATGTCTTCCTCGCTCCACCTCTCCCGTGCATTTGCCTTAACTCCTGCGCCCAGCACCGATGACACCATCGGGGACCTTAAGAAACTGATCGCGGCCCAAACTGGCACCCGTTGGAACAAGATCGTCCTTAAGAAGTGGTGAGTGTCGTGGCAGAGGTATTAGCCCGGGGCAGTGCGCCCCGCTGGCTGCCCTTTGCTGAGGGCTCAGGGCCCTGCTTCCAGGGCCAAGAGCCTCCTTAGGCATCTTTCTGAAAGGTGTCTGTCCCATAGGTACACGATTTTTAAGGACCACGTGTCTCTTGGGGACTGTATCCTTTGCTTGACTTGAGGAAGATCTACATACCCAGCCCTGGTTGTCTTTGTTCGATACTAAACTTGTGTGAAATTCAACCCCTGTAACTTAGACGGGTGAGTTCTGAGAAATGGGAGCCATGTTTATTTTGTTGAGGAGGAGGCTGGTGGGCCCGTGTTGCAGGACTTGAATATTTATTATGAGGTTCTCCTAGGTGCTGGACAGGAGACCAGAGTGGAGAAAGACACAGGCACATCTGTTATGCAGGAGGGGGAGGCACTATTTTTATAGTTTGGATTCTCTCCAAATCAAAATGGCCCAGTCCCACAGGGCTTCCTTAGCCAGCAGCTGAGTGCTGGGGGCACCTGGATGATCTGTGGTGGGGTGAGAATGAAGCCCCTGGTGAAGATTCCTTAACCCCTTACTCAGATGAAATCCATGATGGGATGAACTTGGAGCTTTATTACCAATAAAGCAGAACCCCTCCCCTTTGCCCTGCCCTCTTCTCCATCCTCTCACACTGGTTGGATGCCTGTTTTTAAAAACTCACATTAATAAAAACATAGATGTTGCTTTGTGGTTGTCATCTTTGCTGAGAGGTGGCTTAGGATGGGAGGGCTGGATCTCTGGTCACCACTGTGGTATCAGAACAAGGCATCTTTCTTTTTTTGAGATAGGGTTTTGCTATGCAGTTCAGGCTGGTCTCGAACTCGTAGTGATCTTCCTGCCTCAGCCTCTCAAGTGCTGAGATTGTAGATGTGTTCCACCATGTCTGGCCCAGAACGAGGCATCTTAATGAGAGCTCAGGTAGAACAGCTCCTGGATAGGGGAATGGGGCTCTGATAGAGATTTGCCTAGCGTCTGTTAGGCCCTAGGTTTGATCCCAGCAGAACACTGAAACACAAGGGTGCACAAATAGATTGCATTAGCAAGGTACAGGGAGGGCCGCTAGAGCCCTGGAGTTTTCTGTGGTTTCCTGATGGAAACCCTGGGATTTCCTAACAGACTGTGGAGCCTATGGGTTGGGCAGTAGGAATAAACTAACAATATAGGCTTGTGGTTTGGATGGACTGTGAGTTGGACATCTGAACTTGAGTTTCCCCATCAAAAATGATGGACGTTAGCTGGGCGTGGTGATACATGCTTCTCATCCCAGCACTCAGGAGGCTGAGGCAGGAAGATCACTGCGAGTTCCAGGACAGCCTGAGTGACATAGGGAGCTGAAGACCAGCCTGAACTGCAGAGCGAGACCATGTCTGCTTCGCTGGTGTGTTGTGAAGCGTAGATGGAGATACAACATGTGTAAATGAGTACCCACAGTTCCTGCCTGCAACCTTAAATATGAGACCATGAGCCTGGTGTACTCACCTATAATCCCAGCAACTCAGGAAGATGGCAAATTCAAGGTCAGCCTGGTCAATTTAGCAAGATGCTGTCACAAGGTAAATTAAAAAAGGGCTGGGGAGGGCTGGTGAGATGGCTCAGTGGTCTAAAGCACCTACTTAGAACAAACTTAGCAAACACAGGTACCGCGGTTCAATCCCCAGCACCACATGCCAGCCAGCCCCGCCCCCTGGTGGGCTGAGCTGGACACACACACACACACACACACACACACACACACATCACTGGGCTGGAGAGATGGCTCAGTGGTCTAAAGCACCTACTTAGAATAAGCTTAGCAAAGCATCAGG